CTCTCTACTACTATATATATATATATATATATATATATATATATATATATATACACACACACACACACACACACACACACACACACACACACACACACACCGGATCAGACCACTGGGCCCAGTGAGCCCGGTATCCCCTGCTACCCCTTACAGTGAGCCAGCCTGGGTGGGAGGAGGAGCAGGAAAGCACCAAGCATGGGGGCAGCATGCACCATTGGGCAGGCAGGTTATTGAGCCCCCGGCATGGACTGGGCTGTGGTGTGTGGAGCGGTGGGCTTGGCCGGTGCGGCAGAGGGAGCACAGGGGACTAGGTTTCCCAGTGGCTGGATCTGGTGCAGTGGGATGCTGAGCTGCACGGAGCAATGGGTTCATTCGGCACGGCAGGAAGGCAGTAGAGATGTTGGGCCGATGGCCTACAGGGCTTTCCTAGGGGAACAAGGAGACTCCCCTCGTTCCATTTCTGTGTGCCCTGATCCTGGTTCTGTCCGAGGGCTGGGGAGCAGGTATCTGGTGGATCAGAGCAGGGGACTGGAAGCTAGGATTCCTGGGTTCTGTCCCTGTCTCTTGCACTCACCCTGTCACCTGGGCCAAGAGGCTGATCTCCTCCAGTCTAGGAGGATGGAACCATTCGGAATGGCCGGGTGTCCCAGGTTTGTCTCCGACATCTCGTACCAGCCACTCTGCTCGGAGCCGCTCTCCTTGTCGCTCCTCACGCAGTCCTTAGCATGGTAATGGCCCTGCCGCTCTGCTGTGGAAGGGCTGGGCCGGGAGCCGTCGGCTCTGCCGTTAGCAGTCGCTCTGCTCCCTTGGTTGTGCCATGGATGATGATGGTGGGCGGCTGGGCTCAGGGCAGTGACTAGCTCCTCTGAAGTGGCGCGCTCCCCTCTCGCTACCCCAGGTGCTGATCATGGACCACCCGAGCATGCGCATCCTCTCGTCGTGCTGCAAGATGTCCGACATCCTGGCCGAAGGCATCACGAGTGAGTGGCCTTGGACAGTGTCCCTCCCTCCTGTCTGCTCCCAGGACTCTGTCCCCACCCGCCAGGGTTCCCCTCCCCCTTAGATACACCTCACAGTCGGGGAGTTGACTTGTCTACATTCACATTTGCACCTAGTTCCCCCCTTTGCAGCCCCCTAGATGCCCTCCTTGCTGTTGGTACTTTCCCAGCCAGATCTAGTTCCCTTAGCCCGGTGCTTTCAGCCCCTGGAGCCTCTTCACCACTTTTCTCAGACCCCAGTTAACTCCTCGCTGCTCCTCCCCCATGCTGCGGGCAGGGTCCTGGCAGGAGAGGGGGAATGCTGGCTCCCTGCTCCAGGGTGGAGGAGCCCTGGAGTTGAGGGGCACAGAGCTGAGCCAGCGCTCTAGGGGGGTGTCCCCAGCACAGTACAGAGGGACATTTCCTCCCTGCTCCATACTAGGGCAGCATCACAGCCCATGGCCCCACATCAAAGCTGCTGCTGCATTGTAGCCTGTGGAACCCCCAGCCTGCTGCCAGCGAACATCCCTGTTCCCCTTGGCTTCCCCTCCCCCTATCCCGGTGGAGAGCGGCTGGGGCGGGTGGCTAGGACACACTGACCCGCGCCCAATGTCTGCTCTCTCCTAGTTGTGGAAGATATTAACAAGCGCCGGGAGCCAATCCCCAGCCTGGAGGCCATCTACCTGCTCAGCCCTGTGGAGAGGGTAGGAGTTCGGGCCTGGGGCAGCTGGATGGGGAGCAGGGGAGACCCCGAGGCAGCACCTAGTGCAGCCTGGAGGTGACGCCGTTCGGGGGGATGCGCAGCACAAGGTCAGGATGGGAATGGGGCCAGTAGGGGCTCCCCAAGAGGCTGTTTCTCCGGAGCTGGGCTTCGTGTTCTTTGCCACGTGAGGCACAGACTGTCCTCCAGACCTCTCCGCAGTGCAGTCCCATGGGGGTTGGATGGGAAGACAGCAGGCGGAGAGAGGCAACCTCGGCTAGGCTGACCAGATAGCAAGTGTGAAAAACCGGGACAGGTGTTGGGGGGTAACAGGAGCCTATAGAAGGGAAAAAACTAAATGTTACGACTATAAAATCGGGACATCTGGTCACCCTAAGTCCTCAGCTGAGACTCAAAGGGAAGGAGAATCGCTGAGGCAGAGGCTCAGGTGGCAGGGGCTGTGGGGGAGGAGGCTCCTGCGTCTGCAGCCCAGAGGCGAGTGGAGGGAGACCAGGGGCAGGGGGTGCTGGTAGAGCGAAGGGGAGCAGGGTGAAGCCCAGTACCCACAGGGGCTGCCTGCAGAGGGGGCGCTGTAGGAGAGGACTCCAAGCTGGGGCCTGGGGATCAGGACAGGGCAGCCAGGTCCTCACAGTTGCTTTCAAGTACCTGGAAGGGGGTTCCAAAGAGGATGGATCTAGACTGTTCTCAGTGGTAGCAGATGACAGAACAAGGAGTAATGGTCTCAAGTTGCAGTGGGGGAGGTCTAGGTTGGACATTAGGAGGGTGGTGAAGCACTGGAATGGGTTACCTAGGGAGGTGGTGGAATCTCCTTCCTTAGAGGTTTTTAAGGCCCAGCTTGACAAAGCCCTGGCTGGGATGATTTAGTTGGGATTGGTCCTGCTTTGAGCAGGGGGTTGGACTAGATGACCTCCTGAGGTCCCTTCCAACCCTGATCTTCTATGATTCTACCTGTCACAATGGCCAGTCGCGGGGTCCGAACAGCTTCCAAACCCACAGCCAGCCCGTTCGGTGCCTGCTCCTCCACCCTGCCTGGCTAGCTGGGGTGGTGAAGCTCCAGGTGCCCAGCGTGGCACCTGGGGAGGGCTCGGGCCCTGATGGCGGCTGCCTGGGATTGCTGCTGGGCCGGCTGTTCCCTGGGTACTGCTCAGAGCCCACTTAGTACAGCTTCAAGGCCAATGCCAGGCCCCATGTGTGGCTGGGAACCAACACTTGTGTGCCAGTGAGAGACATGGCTGGACCCTGAGGATGTCCTGGACATGGGCACTTGCTCCAGCAAGGAGGGAGCCCAGAGCCAGGGGGGTGAAAACCAGCCCACATCCCGATGGCATTATGCTGGGCCCTAAGTCCACAGGGGCTGGGCATGGGCTGGGCCCTTCGGGCAGCAGGGAGGGGCCTCGGCTGGTGCTGACAACCTCTCTCCCCTTTGCAGTCGGTGCAGGCTCTGATCAATGACTTCCGGGGCACACCCACCTTCAACTACAAGGCAGCTCACGTCTTCTTCATCGACAGTGAGTATTGGGGGGCGGGGGATCCCCCAGCTGGGAGCCTGACCCGTGGCACACTGGGGCTAGGGGGTCTCTCTCTGCTGGCAGGCCAGTGTGCAGCACCCTGATTACACTCTGCCCTCCTGCAGGGGAATGGAGCCCCAGCAGGCCAGACCAAACAACCCCACCTATCCCTTCCCCCACTTCTCCCCCACGGGCCTGCCTTCAGCTGGCTCACAGACACCTGCAGCGTGAGCCTAGAGAGGCAGCCTCTGGCTACCATTCCCAGCATGCATTGCTCCATCAGTCCCAACTGGGGTGGGGGGATGGGACACCACCAGAATACCCAGTGTGTCAGGGTCACATCTGCTTCTCCCCATTACAGCGGCAGCGGAGCCCAAGTCCCTGTTCCTCCTTGTGTATCATCTGGAGTTGTACACTCCAGTCACTTCCCCCTGTGGGGTGGGGGAGGGGGAGGGTGAGGGCAGGGTGTGAGACGGGTTAGGTAGGAGAGATTGTGGCCCCCCCTTGCTGCTGATGCTGCAGAAGCCGAGAACCCGGCATGACTCTGGTTTGGGGGGGCTGAACTCATCGTTGACTCCTGTGTGGCCCTGCTGGCTTGCCCAGGTTCCCCACAGGTGTGCAGCACCACTGCCCCTGCTGTGCCCGTCCTGACCCGGTCCGTGGGGGCTGGCGCTGTGCTGGGGGTCCTCAGCCCTGTGTGTTGTACTTAAAGTATTGCCCGGGATCTTTTCAGGGAGAATAAGGCAAAACGTCACATTTATTAGTAATACATGTATTCACTAACACTGTATCATATATTTCTCACACACACACACACACACACACACACACACACTCTC